GCTTTGCATTGACGTTTTTAAAGAGCCAAGAGAAGCCTAATGTATCTCACTGCCATATAACCTCTGAGCAGTGGCGAGCCGTGACTTTTATACCTAGGCCCTCAGACCCCCGCCCCCCCCCCCCGCCCCCCGTGCACCATGCACTGCACCATAGACATATAAAGAGTAGCCGCCGCATTGGCTGCTGGGGCGCAAGAAATACGGCCGCCATCTTGGACCGGTCATCCTACCCATATTGTACAGACATTCTACCCATAGACAGCAGAGGTTTCAAGATGCCAGAGCACTGTGCGACGCGTATTGCTGTGCAAATCGGCGGACGATTGCGAACAGGGGTCGGGGGATTACTTTTCACAAGTAAGATTCAACATTATTATTGGTTGTATTTTGTAAATAGAATATTATTGTACTGTATTGATGTCCGCCAGCGAAATCGTAGCCAGCAAACATTATGTTTATGGTCAACTGAGACTTTATAAATCATATGCAGCAGCATATGCAGCATAACAAGTGAATTTCCCCGTTGTGGGATGAATAAAGTAGAATCTAATCTATCTAGGAAGAAGAAGGAAGAAAATAAGCTTGACCTCCTTCTTAAAAAAAAAAGTGTGTTGACTCTCTCAAATCTCCCGTTTTTATTTTTGAAGGTTTCCCAAAGACAAAGATATGAGGAAGAAGTGGGAAGTTGCTTTGAGGAGGGAAGGGTTCACTGCAAGCGAGTCATCCGTGATTTGCAGTGAGCATTTTAAGCAGGACGAGTTTGACAGGACAGGACAGATTGTCCGACTCAGAGATGGTGTTATTCCCTCCATCTTCAGCTTCCCGGTTCACCTCCAAAGAGTAGTTGTATCATCATAAGGCTATTAGCGTTCATAAATGTAAATATTCTATTATCAATAACAGGGCAGGGTGAAATACCTATCCCTGTGTGTGCGTGTATTAGTGCTGTAGCGACGCGTCGACGATGTCGACGCGTCGACTTCAAAATATCGTCGACGACATATTTCCGCGTCGACGCGTCGCTACACACACGTGGGTCACCCAAAGCAACAAGCAGTTCGCAATCGCACTTCAAACAAAATGGAGACTGAAACGGCTACCACCTCCTCACAGGATTGCGCACGAAGCCCCCAAACGAAAACATCTCGCCCTAGGTCTTCAAAAGCATGGGAATATTTTAAAGTTAGTCCAAAACGCAAAGATATTTATATATTTATATCTCACTGAGACTGCTGCATAGCCTAGCAGAAGCAGCAGCTAGCTGTGGTGGCTACCATTAGCAGCTAGCATTTGCTCTCCGATTTTTTACATAAAATGGAATTATGGATTATAAATTCAATCATTTTTTTATACATAGACGTTAAAAACCTATGGATTAACCGATTCAGCCGCGTTTTTAATCATTTTAATGCCATTGAACACGTCTTTTGATCAGATTGACAGCTACGGTGGTAAGACGATCTCCCTAGAAGCTCTGTGAAGGTACGTGTTGTGATGACTGTATTTGCTTCCCCTGTCGCGAGTCCGGATCACTCAGTGATGATACTATATACCTACATAATCTGTGGAGTCTCAGCTTTAATCGGATATATTGTAAGTGCAGCTACGATAAGTAATAAGGGTACTTTTATCTTGAGTTCTGTGCCAATGTCCGTTAGCATTTTTCGCTCAGGGGTCATTTAGATGCTTCTTATGAGACTTGTGTTTTGTTTTGGTAAACATGGTTTGTATCGTCAGTTAGCTGAGATTATTTCCGTTAATCTGGTATAACACATTAATAGGTTCTTAAATATTAAGATCCCCTGAGACACAGTATCGTGAAAAAAAAATGTTTTACATTACGTTTTTTTTTACATTACGTTTTTTATGAAATGAACAACAGAAAAATAATCGTTCGATTAGTCGACTAATCGATCAAATAATCGCCCGATTAATCGTTTTCAAAATAATCGTTTCCCCCCAGCACTAGTGTGTATATATATTATTTTCAAGTATTATGCTTCTTCATTTTAGCCGGAAAGAGCAGGACTACGTCTACTTCCAGAAAAGCTGAAGAGAGCCTGTCTGTGGCCCCTCAGGACGACCCAGAAGCTTCAACCTCACTCACAACCTCAGCCTAATGATGTGAGTATTTCTATTTTCAACATCATAGGCTACTGTATCATAATGGTCCTAGACAAAGTACAATCTCTCTTGTTTGCTGCCACTCATATTAAACACACTCACAAATAAACTCATACACACACAATTGAAGACATGTTGAACATGCATTCCTGGCACACTCACACACACACACACACGCATGATGCTGGCAGTGGCTTTGACAGGTGATGACTATAAGAAAGAATGTGGGCCATACTCTAGTTGTGTCAAAGTGATGTGTGTGAAGTGAAACATCACTCAAACCATGTTCATCCCTCTTTCTACTAGGATCATAGCTATGTCTTGCCTGCTTCTCCTACTGCTCTTAAGGCCAGACTCAATGAAGCTTTAGCAAGAGTGGAGAGTCTTGAGCGAGAGAGGAAGAATGCCATGGCTAGAGAAAAGAGGGCAAAGACCACAGTGAGGAGTCTTTTGGGGGATTTGAGGGAAAATAACCTCATTAATGAAGAACTCAAAGAGAGGCTTGATTTCTACTCGGGTAAAATGAAATTAGCACTTTGAAATTCATGTACATCTTACTCTTACACTCTTTATTAAACTCCTTTGTTATTATATGAAGGGGACTTATTATTTTTTTCTCATACAATTTCAGATCTTCAAATAGACTTCAAGGCAAAGCAGGGCCATGAGTACTCAAAGGACCACAGAGAGTTTGCCCTCACACTCCATCTACATCAGGGGTGCCCAACCTTTTTTGAACCGAGAGCTACTTTTAAAGTTGCCAGTCTGCCGAGATCTACCAGTCCAAATGGAGAGGCGTAGCCATTACTGACAGCCTACTACAAGATACATACACACTTCTACTTGTATAAAACTGACCTTTGTACGATTAATACCTCATAAAATACTCCAGATCCTTTATCTTACCTCGGCTCTTTCTAATCTACACACATACAAGTATTTAACTGAAGTTACACAACAGTGTTGTTGATACAGAGTTGGAGTTTATTCACACGTCACATACTACAGTGGGTAATGTTTTCAAGAAACATTGAACAATGCTGCCACATATGACACAGGAAAACAAGAAAAGACTCTGAACCCTTTCTTTGCCATTATATAAAAATAGTGTTGCTACAAAAGTATAAATGAGGCTTACTAATAAGACAACTCAGATCTGAAGCTACACAGGAATCTGCTGCCAACGTGCAATAAATAAGACAAAATTAATAGAATCAAACCCTTTTTTGTTGCATTTTAGTAGAGTATAAAAATAAATGCCTTTTTAATAGGATGCAAGCAACAGTTTCTTAACCTGAATTGATAATAGACTATAATCAATTTAAGTTTGCATTCTTATACCATTTTGTACAATAATTATAATGACTAAGTTCAAACAAACTAAAACTCACAGCTGATTAATAACGGTATCCAACTTGAGTTTTTATTATATCAAAAACCTGTTGAAATGCTACTGTTATTGTTGTTGTTTACTGTCCCCAAAAGCGCATCGGCAGCCTCCAGGAATGCTTCTTTCACAACTTTGCCGTCTTTGAAAGACTTCATGTGTTTCGCAAGAACGTGACTGACACGATAAGATGCTATGGTAGCAGCCTTGCTCTTGTTGTTGGGCCTGGTGAAAATGGACTGCTGTGCATTTAGCTGTGCTCTCAGGCCCCTCCCCTTTTGGGAGCGTAGGGCAGAATTAGGAGGGAGTTCCGTCTCGTAGCGTTTGTGCACTGTTTTGAAAATGCCGCTCCTAAATTACCCTTCTTCGATAAAGCCACGCTCGCATTGCAGATGAGACAGATGGACTTTGAATTGGAATGGATAAAAATAATCATCCTCCCACTCGGAGTGAAAATGATATATTTTGGGACTGTCACTCCTGTTGACACGGACAATGTCAGCGAAATACTGCCCACTGCCCACCAGCCACGCCCCGACACATGGGGTCACGCCGGCCAATCACAAAGCTTTGATGCGTTCAAGTGCATTATTCTGGCACAGGAACATTATGTTATAGGACATTAACGATAAAACAGAATATTGTTGTTCTATTTTTAGACACATCTCGCGATCGACTGGGAATCTCCCCGCGATCGACCGGTCGAATGCGATCGACTGGTTGGGCACCCCTGATCTACATGGTCCAAAGGCATACAAATACCTCAGAGAGACTAAAAATCTTCCCCTCCCTCATCCACATGCATTACAAAGGTAGTCTTAATGTTGTTCAATTTCATTTTTGGAAATTACGGTTGCAAATACGTTAAATAGCTACTTCTCAATTTGTTTACAGGTGGCTGTGTTCGGTGGATGGCAAGCCTGGCCTGAACAAGATGATGCTGGATATGCTGGAGAGAAGATGCCAGGAAGACCAGGCTAAATATGGATGTGTTGCACTCATGTTGGATGCCATGGCCATCAGAAAACATGTGCAATATAATCCACATAACCAGTCAATGTCTGGTTTTGTAGACATGGGTGATGGAAACAATGAGACCGATGTTGCTACTGAGGCTCTTGTGTTCATGGTGGTTGGCCTACAAGGACATTGGAAGGCTGCCATTGCATATTACCTGACGAAGTCTTTGTCACCTGAAACACAAAGGGTCCTTCTCAGTCATGCTTTGGAGGAGCTGCATGCACGGGGCATTCGGGTGGTATCTGTCACGATGGATGGGCATGCCTCCAACGTCAGCATGTGCAACCAACTTGGGTGTGAGCTGAAGGGAAACCCACAGGAGCCACTTAAAACCAGTTTCCTGCATCCCTCGACTGGTGACAAAGTATTTGTAATGATGGATGCCTCATGCTGAAGTTGGCACGTAATATGTTGCAGGTAAATGATGATTGTTGTAGACCTATTTGTACAAGTTATGTCTCTGCTGCTAAAAGTTGTATCTAAATATTGTTGTCTGTTCATTTGCACAGTTATGGCTGGACGTGATGATCAACATGTTGCTGTTTGTACTTGTTTGAGCAGTGACTGAATAATTCTCTGCAGGCATACAGTCCAATTGCAACGACCACCGGACAGATCAAGTGGAGGTTCATCAATCATCTCAATGATGTGCAAAAAAAATACCAATCAAATCACAGACAAACATGTCTACTTTGAGAACCACAAGAGGAGGGTGTCCCTGGCTGCACAAACACTGAGTCGCTCCGGGTCAGTTGCTCTCCGCACAATGAGGGATCTTAGGTACTCTCAGTTTAAAGACTGTGAGGCAACGGCAGAATTCATTGAGGTAAACAGTTAGTGATTATAGAACCAAGTACGTGTTTTTTTTTTTTAATAATTGATCAAAATGTGATTTGAGCATCAGGAACAATTTGTTAATAATTCTCTAAGTTCAACATGCAAATATTTTCATGAACTGTGATATTGCATATTCATAAATACAAAAGTGTGTATATAACCTTACACATACCTTCACACATTTTAGAGTGGTAAAGCTCTGTGTGAAATGTGCTGTAGCACAAAGCAGGCCTATGGAGAGAAGGAAGTCAAGCAAATACTAAGTTTGCATGTTGAACATACCGTTTAGAAATAAGTACTCTGTTCTCTTTATATCTTGAATAGATGAGTATTGATTACAACTATCTGATACCTAATGAAACACTGTAATGATAGTGATTTAGATGCCGATATTTCTTTATCGATTATTGACAGGCTGTTGACACAATGAATGGACGCAATCCTCGTGCCAAAGGATTCAAATCTCTCTTGGATGCTTTGAATTGGATAGAGAGGAAAGCATTTTTGTCAAGAGCCAGGGAGTACTTGCTCACTTTGGTGACAAAAGATGGAACACCACTTCACCGATCTAAGAGGTCTATTCAAATAGTGCTTGTTATTCATGCATGAAAAGTTCACGACATGAGTTCAACGATACTCTGTTCCGTTATGCATTGAGTTCATAAGATGCTCTGTTCTCTACATCAGGTTCATATGATGCTACTGTTACAATGTGTTTTCCTTTAGTTTGGTCTGCTAACATGATGCTCTTTTATTTCAATGTTTTTCTGTGTTCAGTTTTGTTTGTTGGAATGATCTTGTTTTCATTGTTTTTGAGGTCCCAGATGCTTCTAAATAGTATGTATTACACAACATCAAGTTTTGCAGGTGTCAGAAGGAGGGTATGTATGTTGAAATGATGTTCTCTTGTTTCAATGTTTTTCAATCTGCAGTTTTGTTTCTATTTGAATGATCTTGTATTCAGTGTTTTTGAGGTCCCAGATGCTTCTAATGGTACGTATTACACAACATCAAGCACATGTAGGTGTCAAAATGGTATGTATTGCATGTGTTCTTGCATGTGTTCTTGTTCTCAAGTTATCCAAGTTCTGCAATTACATTGTTCCTAGTTAGCTAAGTGTCCTACAAGTATACTGTATATGTTTTGCCATGATCAGAGTAATAAAATGTTTTTCTTTTGCAGGTACTTGTCAGTCATCGGATTTGTCATTAACATTGACACGTTGATGCTGATGATTCCTGAACTGCTCCAAGTTCAGCGGTATGTCCTCACCTACAGGTTCAGCCAGGATCACTTGGAGCTCCTATTTAATTCCATCAGAGCGTCAGGTAGGGTTGATGTTCTTTTAATTGCAATAAATTATGAAAATGACTTATGAGTAATGTATGTATTGTGTGCCTGTTTTCCATACAAGGTGGCTGGAATAACAATCCATCTGCTCGCCAGTTCCAGGCCATCTTCCGCCGTCTGATGGTTCGGTGTGGTGTTTCATAGTGAGACAGGCAATGTGGCAGCCCAAGATCACACTGTGTCCCTGTCTGCGGTAGAGATGTCCTCTGCTGAAACTGCTGAAGAGCACCCATCTCCATTCGCCAACATTTCGGCTGTTGTGAGTGACCACAGCTATCTTCCCACTCGGTTTGGTGGTCTGGTGGAAAATGCCCTGCTGGTCTACATCGCAGGATTTGTAGTCCGGCAGATTCTGCGAAAGCTGTCCTGTGATGTGTGCCGTGCAAGCTTGGTCAGAGATGCTGTACCTTCATCATTTGATGAGAGCTACCACCTTCTAGCCCTGAAAAACAACGGTGGCCTAGTGATTCGATCACAAGGCACAGTGAAGGTGCTGAGAGCTGCAGAGAGGGTGATTCGCCAAGCTTCAACAAGGCAAGCTCCAAAGGTGTCGACAGTCACCTACATCGTGCGGGAGGAGATTGGAACGAAGGATGTTTTTCAGCTTGGGGAACACATTGAGGAGATGCAGTTTGGCATCGACAACCATTATTCAAACTTGTTGTCATTGGTTGTGTCTGTGTTTCTGAAAATAAGACTACACCACATTGCCAAACTCACCTCTCTTGACCTGCAGAAAGGGAGCACGAGAAAGAAGCTCTGCAAAACAGTCCTCTTTCAGGGCTTTTAGCTCATTTAAACTTTCATGAGCAACTTTGTGTAAATATGGTTTGGTTTGTGTCATGTTCTTGTGTTTAACTTGAACATTTACATTTTTTATATAGATATAGATGTTGATTTTCATTTTTTACGACATAGATATAGATATTCATTTTTACTGATATATAACTTCTGTCTATGTATAATGTATTGTTTCTTCATTTTTCAACTTATTAAAATAGCTGAGTAGTAGGCCTACACAATCTGCTTCTCTATCATATAGACCAGGGGTGGGGAACCTTTTTCCTCTCGAGAGCTATTTCAATTTTTTCAACATCCTCCGAGGGCCGTACAAATTATTGACCTCTGCTTAAAAATCACAGGACATTAATTTGGCCTTTCTTTCATGCTGTGCAAAGAAAAAGCAACCTCTTAATCCAGATATCTTGCCATGATTCGCGCATGCATGCACGTGCACGGTGTGGCATGACCACCAAACGGAAAGATATGGACACAAAATGTGTGCAAATCATAGACTGTATATATATATGTATATATATATATATATATAGGTGCAAATGTATTTAGTTTCCTATCCATGTGGACATTATTTCAGTGGGGGGGGACCTAACCTCCTCTAGGGCGGTCCGGGTCTCCCGGGAAGATTTTTCTTTAAATATTGAAGTTAAAAGCATCAATCTGGTGCATTTTGAGAGCAAAATGAAGAGATCTATGGAAACATCTCTCAACACCCATATGAAACAGAACTGTAAGCAGATTTACTTTTTCTTTATGGATATTTTACAAATCACTCTCCTTTCAAACTATTCTTGTTTATTAATAACAACTTTTGTTTACTGTCATATAGTATTTTATACCAGTTTACTTTATTCTCTTGTTTTTTGATAACTATAATGATCAAGATGTGCCTTTACCTCACTGGTTGGAGAAAAAGCTTCTTATATTCGTTAGCATAGCTAGCTAACCAGATGCTAATAACAACAAAGTTATTGACTGTATGATCAGAATGACAGATGAACAGGGGCTTTCAACTAAAGACACAGCCACGCAAAAACTGCAGCATGTGTACGGATTTATGGGTACTGCAATTTTTGAAGTCCCGGAGTGGCGTTCTGGTGCTCTCCGTCAGAACTGCACCCCTGTCAGACGAGACATATACCACGTGATGACACGAAAGGCTCGTGTTGTGTTCAAGGACCATGACCGTTGCCAGGAAAAACAGGTACTCGCTTGTTTAATTATTTTGCGGTCAGGATTTCTTTAATTTTTTGCGTGTGTTTATAAATTACCTCGAGGGCCATACCAAATGGTCTCGCGGGCCGTATACGGCCCGGGGGCCGGAGGTTCCCCACCCCTGATATAGACCATTAGTGTTTTTTTATATGTGTGTGTGTATATTGTGTGTCTTTTGCAAAATACCTATCATACATAACATATAGTCTATCAAATACCAGAATATTCTATTGCTGTTAAGCCTACTATGAATATTAAAATACGCCGAATCATGTGTCCGGTATCATGCCTACATATATGACGTTTGCAGAAAAAAGAAAAAAAAATCAGTTTTGTATTCAGCGAGTTATGATTGATTAAATGCGCTGACAGATCATTGCGCCTGCCAGACAGATTACACTGAGTGGAGCGGGTGACCGGTCCAAGATGGCGGCCCCACGGCTCGTCAGCGCCAATAGGCAGTAGCGGTCGATGCGGCGTCTACTCTTTATATGTCTATGCACTGCACCACTTGCATAGACCTCACAGCGGGCGGAACTTGTCATAAAGTCCGCAAAAATAAAGCCCGCCCATTTAGAGGAAAGATATGATTGGTCAATTGTACTGTCATTTGACATTCCTCTCTCGTTGAGTTACTATAGCTGGCCCTCTGTGAATGTAGAGAGGGACCAACAAGCTCTACCGTCTTCACATAACTCGCAGAGACGGCATTTAACCCTTCACATTCCAACAGAAACTGAACAGGCAGATTCGAAGGATTTATTTCTTTGGAAATATTATTTTAAATACAATTAAATCAAGTTATTTTGGTAAAACTAATGAAAAATATAACAACAAAAAAATATAAAAACTAATATTTACATTTTTTTTTTTTTTTTTTTTTATGTTTTCAAATATTATTTTTTAGAATATCTTAGGCCCTCACAGAGGGCCCTGACGGCTCGCCACTGCCTCTGAGCAGTGCTTTCCAATAATATCTTGGTAAAAGAACAGCATTTGCTACAGGGCGGGAAGGATTCATCATGTCGTAGATCCTGGAATTTTATTAAAAACAGATAACATCCTTTCACAATGTCGACAAAAAACAGGATTTTTGTATCAGATGGCCGTGGAAGGATTTTACTCTGCAGCTTGTTCAGTGTCAGTTTGTAAAGCCTATTTTGGAACAGTAGCCACAATACCTTATGACATTTTAATGCCACAGTTTATTATGTCTTTGTTTCAATTGCTTTAAGACTACCATTAGATGTCCTGACCTTCCCCCCAGGAACTGAGCTGTTAATTGAAGCAGTATTCGGAGTGGTCAAACTGTGGTACTTCAACTTCCATGTAAGTCGCATAAATTAGGACACAAAAACATGTTTTCCAAGTGACGTATATTGGGGAAGAGATGTCTGTTAATCTTTTTTTTAGCTAAATCAACTACCCAGTCCAACAATTGAAGAACCCTTATTTAAATCATTAGGTCCTAAATGTGTTTAATGTGCCAAAAGCCGAATCCAGAGTAATTTTCCCTTTCAATTGATTTGAATAAGTGGAGACTGGAGGTGACAGTGGATGTATAAAGAGAACAGGATACAGCGTTGGAGCCGGGACCCTTTTTTTTCGCCCAATGACGTCACGGACTGACACAGAAGTTGTAGTATTCCCACTTTTAGATCCCCCAATATTCCAGGTATTTTTGTACTTGACAGTCAGGTCATTTTGACTTCATGCGCCACTGAGCGACTTCCATAGCAGCCCTGCCTCCAGAGCTGTATCCAGTTCTCATTCAACATCCATGGTCCTTGCCGAGGTCAACTCAATTGAAGTGCAAAAACATAATTGAAGTGCTGTCAAAGCCATTGGCTAGCAAGGTTATTAATCAACGTACACAATTCATGGATGTATTTTCAGTTGTTAGCTGTAAATCTTTATCTCTGACATGTTAAAGCAAAGAGTAACAGTAGCAAGTAGACAAGAGTCATAAAGTCAGCTTTAACTTAGTTACTATTGTCAGTTACATAACTAAAGTTTGCTAACATTAGCTGACATACATTTTATTTTTGTCATACAAGACCAAATAAGTCTGTGGCAGGAACACTCCTTTGCTAACAGAAATTAAGTGAAAGTCTGTTTTGATGGTTGTTACGTGCCGTAGTGTTTGTGTGGTCGTGTGGGTGTTTTTCTCTCTCTCCCTCTGACTCCCCAGGTGCAGCCTTGATTGTCCCCAGGTGCAGCCTCTCCCCAGGTGCTCCCAATCCTCAATCAGGGCCTCCATATAGGACAGGAGGAAGGTTGCTGCTTTCTCTCTCCTTCTCATCTGGCTGCATGTGTGCAGCATGTCTCTGTGTGAGACCCAGCATAGTTGTGTGTTGTTTACTGTAAGTTTGTTTTGTAATTTGGCTGGTGAGCCGCCTTACTTATTAACTAATTAAAACCTCACTTAAACTCCTTCAGCATTCAGTTTCCTCTCCTTTTTCTCTCCTCCGGCTATCTTGTGTGTCGCTACTTCCCTTGGTACCCGTAGCTCTACAAGGGAACGTAACATGGGGGCTCGTCCAATCTTTGAGACAGAGTGAGTGTTTGGTTGTTGGTTAATGTTGATATGGTGTTTGGTGGTGAGCAGTAGTGTATGTAAGTGTAGAATTGGCTGTGAAATGATTTACTGTTGAACATCTCCCTCAGTTTAGAGAGGGGAGTGTCTAGCTGGACTGAATCAGTCCTTCCTTCAGGCACTCGTTTTTTATTTTGCCTTTTTTATTTTCGGGGTAATCCTGGGTGGGGATTTATTCCCTGTTGGGGGCAGGCGATTCAGGGTTTCGGCCGCTGATGTTTGCCTTTTTTAAAGTCGCCTCGAGCCCGGCACGACCCAGAAGATAGTTAGGTAAGTTTGGTAGGCAGGATCTGGGGAAGTTTGTAAATAAATAGATAATAATATTGTAAGTAGCCGTTGCTGAGGATGGTTTTTGTGTTGGAGCAGTTTGTGGCCAGTCCTACTGTGGGTCAGCTAGACGGGTGCAGGAAGGTTGATTTGCGGTTAGTTGCTGACCATTATCATGTTTCTGTCTCCTCGGCTCTGGTAAAAAGTGAACTCAAGGCTACTTTGATAACTGGACTAGTTGAACAGGGGGTTTTGAGGCGGCCTGCTTTAGTGGAATCTCCTGGCATGGTGGTTCAGAGTGCTACGGAACAGGCAAACATTTTCACCACACCTCAGTTTGACTCGTTTTCGGCAGGATCCTCACCTACGGGGTCTAAATTAGATGCCAGGGTAAAAGTGCGTATGGCTCGTCTCCAGTGTGAGAGGGAGGAGCGTGAGCGAGAGTTTCAGCTCAGGAGGGAGCTGGAGATCAGGAAGCAGGAGCAAGAGATGGAGATCAGGAAGCAGGAGCAAGAGATGGAGATCAGGAAGCAGGAGCTGGAGATCAGGAAGCAGGAGCTGGAGGCAGACACTGCTGTCCGGATGCGTCAGCTAGAGCTCCAAGAAGCTGGGATGGGTGATTCTGCAGTTACACCTTCTGGTCCTGCTGCCTCCTTTGATGTGAGCAGGCATATTTCTTTGGTCCCTGTGTTTCGTGAATCAGAGGTCGATGTCTATTTTGGTGCATTTGAGCGCATTGCTGCTGCCCTGCACTGGCCAGAAGATGTGTGGGCTATTCTTTTACAGTGTAAGCTAGTCGGCAAGGCTCAAGAGGCTTGCTCTTCTCTTTCTGTCGAGGATAGTTTGGTGTATGACAAGGTGAAAGGTGCTATTCTCAGGGCATATGAGCTTGTGCCTGAGGCCTACAGGCAGCGTTTTCGCGGCCTGAAGGAAACTTCTGGCCAAACGTACGTGGACTTCGCGAGGGAGAAGAAAGCCCTCTTTGACAGGTGGTGTAAAGCTGATGACATTCCTTCAGTGTGCGAGCTAATGATGTTAGAGGAGTTTAAACACTGTGTACCGGAGCGTACGGTAGTCTACCTGAATGAGCAGAAAGTGACTACCCTTCAGCAGGCTGCCATTATGGCAGA